CGAAGGGCTCGGCTGCTCCCCTTGGTGAGCCTTGCGCGGGCCTGGTGGAGCGTGCCCTCGCGCACAGCCCGTTCCCCTTTGAGCAAGGACTGTCTGCGTAGCTGGGAGCTGGGCTAGGTCGAGTTCAGCGCTTTGCAAAAAGCTCTTCTTCCCACCCTGCCAGAGGTGCCACCTCGTTCGTAGTTTTGCACCAGGTGCTGTGCAAAGCTTGGCAGGAGACAACAGAAGATGACAGACACCCCTTGCTTGTTCCCTCCGCAGGGACAGCACTGGGAACAGCGGAACAGCTTCAACTACAAAATGGCAGAAGTGAAGGAAGCTATTGGAAATAGCCCGCTGAGCACAAAGACATCCCCTTGCCTGGGATGTCAGGTGAAGTTTCTAGGCTGGGGTCCTGTCCTCTTCACCCCGGAACACTTCCTACAGTTGCACCTTTACTGATGGTAGTAGCAGTGGTGGGTGTGAGGTAGTGTCTGATGCTTTAGTTAAGCAGGGGCTGGAGTGCTGTTGTGGTTAGCACTGGTAAGAGCAGAGCGAGCACCGGTATAGCTGCTTGGGTCCGTGAGCAGCCTCTAGAGATGACCCCCAGCTGTGACAGATGGTGCTCCAGCTCTGCTAATGTGCAGGCATCGCATCTCTTCTGACTTTGAGAGAAGAAGACCAAAGTTGTAGCAGTAAGATATGTAACTGGGATGAAGAACAACAAGGAGCAAACTAAATGTGCTTTAGTACTCACTGTCCAGTTTCTCCAACACCTACTGGGCTTAACAGCATTGGCTGCCCTACTTCCTAGCGCTTTCCTTGCGGATTATCCCTGTCCACAGCTGGAGGTGGCATTTTTTTGTTCTCCATGGGACTAAAGCCAGAAGGTCTGTGTACAGGATATGGACTTCTTACTCATGCACTGCTGTTGACTGGATCAAAGCGTGTCCTGGAATGGAGCTGACGTCCCAAAATCCCAGTAGAAAGATGCCTACGCAAACAGAAGTGCTTGTGTGAACAACAGCCCTCAGCCACTGGTGAGACTGGGGTCTACAGCTATTGCTGTTTAATATCTTAGTAGAGTTAGAAGAAGGTAGTGGGTAGTTACTGTATGTTGTGTTAGTGCTTTTGGCATTTAGAAGCAGCAGCATAAACTTCAGACACTGAGCATTGTACGTACTGGCCATGCAAAATGTCTGTCAGGTAAGAATACTGGAAACAGTTAACACCAGGAAACATCACAACTAATTTTTTTTTCCTAAGAAGGAAATCAAACGGAGAGGCAACATCCAACAGCAGGCTAAATTCTGGAGCCTCCCAACAACACATGCCTGCCAAGCTGCTTTCAACATGTCCAAAATGAGATACTGAGCAACTAAAACTTATATTTAAGAGGAGCCTTCCTCTTCAGGTGGAAGAGTTGGGCTCTAAGAGAGAAACCTTTTCCCTGTGAGGCAGGAAATGATCCAGTGCAGCCTGGAGAGTATCATGAATTGGACCGAGCAGTGCTGCATGTGGGAGCTGGAGCGTGGCGTGCTGTGGCTGCTGCTCTCACCCTGCACACCGCTTGCATGGGCAGCTGCAACGGCGTCAGTGCAGCACTTCAGCTGTAGTTGTTGGTATAGGTACGTGAAGCTGGATTCTTTGTGTTTTGCGGGGTCACATGAATGTATACACAGACTGGTTGTTGGTTTTTGGGGGTGGGAAATTGTATTTCTAGCAAAGACAAGTAAAACTGACCACAGCAAAAGCAATCTTGCAGAAGAAGGAAATGGAGGGTCTTAATGGTGTCCTCCCATCTGTGTTGGCCACAGGTCCTAGGAATTTTGTTATGGCTCTGAGGCTGTAGATGGCTCCCTGATTAGCATACCTTAAAATCCAATCCAGCAGGTGAGAGAAATGAGTTACTGCACTAGTGTGAGAGCAGTTCTCCAAAGACTTACTGATGGTTAAAGTGGGAGGGTGGGGGAAGCACTTACAGCTTTCCAGAGGAGCTTTAAATGAGGTGAGGTCAGATTCCTCTCATCCCCTGCTCAGCAGCTGCCTCTGCAAAACTTAACACAGGGAGCCACTTACAGTTTTGCCAGTCAATGTCTCCTGCTCCAATGCAGAGCAAAGCCTGGGGGAGTGGCCGTGTAAGAGAGTTCATGCTACTTGGTACCTAATCCTGAAAGGGGAGAGATGAAGAAGTTGTTTTATTTTCATGCTTTTTGCTCCACCTTGCTATAAATGGACCATGTAGAAAGTATGGAAGGGGACTGGGGCTCTAGGCCTCTTCTACAACTAAGTGAGAAGGGGCAAAGAAATGCCCCTGCCTGGCAATGGCTGCAAGAAAGCTGTGGTCCCTGACACGGCCCCTTCTCATCAGCAAGGTGCTGCAGGAGAAATACCAGGCCCACTTGAGGAGGTGAATTTGTAGCTGGTGAGGTCTAGGAGGGAGTTTCTCAGGGTGGCTTGAGGATGGAGCCCAGGCAGAGCATCTGCAGTGCTGCCAGAAACGGACTGTGCCCGGCTGTCTTTGCTCTGGCGGGAATGGCAGGAAGGGGAGGAGGGTGCTGAAACGTGTGTACAGAACTGCGTCCCTGGGGACAGAAGTGCTGGCATCACAGCTGCTGGTGGCAGTTGACCATATAATTTGGGATCAAAACCCTGAGGGATCACTTCCGGCTCTGCTACTGGTTTGCTGAGAAAAAACTCTATCTCCACAGGCCTCAGTTTCCTTATCTTAAATTGCGAGAAAGACCTTGGACTGGCATCATCTCCCAAGGGAGCCTGCAATTAATTACCTGCACTTGTATAATGTTGTGCGGGGTTGGGAGTCGTGTTCCCCAGAGGGTTGTGCTCGGAGCAGGCACAGGCCAGGGCTAAGGCTGACCCCCCTTTCTCTGCCAGAGATGGACCCAAACCTCTGCATTCACATAGCCCTCGCTTGTGAGGATGAAGAGAGCTCATCATTCACATATAACTCCCTACATCGCCTTACTTACGCCGAACCAATATCTGGTAAAGTGGAGCTGGTGACAAAGGAGAGGCTCTGGCTGTCCTTAGCTGGCCTCTCCTTTCTGGTCAAGGGTTTTTACTTGGGGGTGGGAGGGCAAGGGAGAATGGGACAATTCAGTTTATACCTCATTTTAGCTGCTGTACCTGAGTTTATTCTTTCTCCTCTGGTAAGAAAGTGACTGTACTTTACTTAACACCAAGCAAATAGTGAAAATTAAAGCCGTTTCACTTCGCTGTCCCAGTAGCTTTCTTTTTTTTTTTTTTTTTTTTAAGAAACTCACACAAAAACTGTGCAGAGAGTGCTTCAGGCTTGTGTTCTGGTTTATATTACCAAAAAAACCCACCTCATTTCAATATAAAAAAAGCATTACAGTAGGGAATACAGGATAAATTAGCTCCACTATCTAATAAAAAGAACATTTACAGTTTTTTAAAATAGATTTCAAACATTATTTCACACGCAGCCCTTTTCCCAGGCATTTGTGACAGTCGTTTGAGCATTAAATAACAGCCAGGAGGCAGGGGCGCCGAGAGGGCCTGGGGGCGCGCAGGCACGGGCTGCTCTCCACTGCTTCCGTCCAAGGTGCTTGGGCCGCGGCCACAGCGCTGCAGAGAAGGAGGCAGCAGCTTCCCCTGGTCCCCAGCCTGCCCAGAGCTCTGCAGCGAGCAGTGCGTCTAGCTCGCAGCCCCTGACCCCAAAATATTCACCAAAATATAAAAATACAGATGTTTCTCCTGCCTACTGTTCTGAAAACTACTGTACAACAGAGGGGGCAGCTACATAACCAAGGGACAAAACCCAACAAATTTACATGCGTTGCCATACAGCGGGAGTCTGCTTTCGGGGCTGGCTTGTTCATTAAATTCCCTGGGGTGGGGTGGGGGGGGGGAGA